TCCTAGTAATAAATGGGTTAATCCCAGAAATAAGACCATTTGTGCTGCAAAGGGAACCCGCCGATTTCGACTCATTGATGCATCACGTCAGAATTGCACAAAATGCAGTCCAACATTCAAGAAGAAGTCGACAGTCCGACATCAAAATGATTACAGAAAACAAAACGACACTCTAAAAAATTCCATCAGTCCTGGCCAGTAAGAAGACTGCAGTACAAATGTTACAGAACCCGAGACAGGTCCTGAATGTTGGAAACATCACGCCTACGATGGCAAGATCATTGATTTCCATATGGTTTGATGCCAATGGCATCGCGCACAGGTGCATCATCCAATGCAACTTACCGCCACGAAGGAGAATTAGAGTATAAATACTTATAAAATTGTAAGAAAAGAGGGTGGTTAATAAATGATTAAAGACTCCAGAATGTTGATGTAGTTACTATAGTAGATATCAAAAGGTTGCTTCCACAAATCAAGCCATTTGTGGTACAGAGGCAGCCCACCGACTTGGAACCCCTGATGACCTTAGCAGAAATTTAGAGTAACTGTAAGTAGTATGGTTTGAACAGAGCGACTAGTTCTGAAAGTTTTAACAAAAAGTAAACCTATTGATTCAGACAGAAAAACAAGTCAGCACCCAGTGTTAACTTTTGGTGTCAATGTCACATTGTCAGTGTAATAGTGAAGAGTGACAGTTATCAAGAAAATCTTGAACGTTCAGCGTATTTTGCTTCTTCTTCGCTGAGATCAATGACGATTAGAGACTCTGAGCAGACTCTGTCGTTCTCAGGGCTGTTTGTGTCGTCGTCATCGTCACTAATAATGATGGGAGACGGTTTGAGATGGATTTTTGTTTAACGATGAATAGCGCAGTTTGGCCTCTTTCAAAAAAATGATTGTGACCTTTGTTTGACAACTTGGTCAAATAAACTGCACTTGTGAACAACGGACTGTTGATGTGAACTTTCATGTAGTATTACTTCTGACAAATGTTTTATGTGTCATGGGATGATTTTCTGCACCATGTGATTAAAGTGGGGGAGATTGCAAATATAGCTTATAATCCCCAAAATCGAAGTCTTATATTGTACTTCTTAGTTCTTAAGTAAAAAATATTAATTTACGTTTTTTAGACTGGGCAACATGATAGCACGTTGACACATAAAATGCAAGGGTGTTTGCTAGACTACCTCCTACAGGTGAAATTTTGCAGTACAGTCAATTTTACTCAGTTATGAGTACCAATATTTTGCTGTACATAACATTGATAATATTAGTTTTATGGAGATAAATGAGATAATGACTTTGATAATTTTGAGTGTTAAAAATGTGTCGTTTAGAAAAGCAATGTTATCGATGTTCTTACTGATGAAATAAAGTCAAAATGTCAACACGTTTAAGATTTCTTGGCTACCTCAGCCAGTGCCTCTAGTACACAGACACGTTCTCTGGACAAGGGTCTAGATTTACTCAGAGCTGCTGTGCTCGCCATTGCATTCTTTTGTCTCGCCAAACATGCTTTGTTAGCTCTGAAATGCTTGGCTCTCGCTTGCAGTCAAGTTAACTTTATCCTTCAGTTTCTGAAATTGGCCCGTAGGTAAAGTCTTCTCTTGCGTTCTCTGCATCACTTAAAAACTTGTCTCCAGATGCCTCTTCCTCCATTTTTGCTAGCTTAATGGAAAAAGAGCTTCTTTGCTTCATCTGGGCATTAGCTACGTACTCATCTCTTCCCGACCGGCAGTTCTAGCAATGGGGAACTGCAAACCCACTCTTGCTCACCGTCACATGACAAAGGAATGGTGTCCCTATTATATATGGGACTGAGCAGGCAATAGAGGTCTGACTAGGGAAGCTCCTTCTCGACTAGCAGCAGAGTAGATAGGGGTTTGCCGCGGTCTCCTTCCCGTTTACGTTTGCCACATCATAGTGTAGAAGCAATGCACGCTATCTTTAGCCATCGTCGTCATTCACAGTCATCGCGTTTAGCAAGTCGTCAAATCTTTTTGTGTCTCTTTAACCATCACGTTCTTGTGCTTCCCTCACTGTCATCAAATATCGACAACTCTGGTAAGACTGCTGTCATATACCTTTGATATGTACAGTGTGCTGCTAATCGCCAGCTGTGCTGTTTAACAAAAGACGGACAAAGCAAACAAGGGGACTTTAAGAGAGCAGGGACTTCTTTCGGCCAGCTTAAATTCGGGTAAATCTGGTGTGGCAGGAATGATATTGCTAGGAATGGAAGTCCGGGTTACTATAATATGAATACAGGTTAGGGTTAGTCAAATTATTTGGGTTAGTGGATGGGACGAATGACACCTGCATAAATAATGGGGAATGGACTAGGTTCCCTGCGGACTACTATGCATGTCACACTGGTATTAAGCTTTGCTATTATATACCGCATTCTCAGCGCTTAGAATTGAAGTTAAAGGGTAATAAAAACGAACATGATATCAATATTAAGCACAACTGTATAATCAGGTTGTTTTCTAACTGTTTTGATTTCAAATTTGTATCTTTGTTTAATTAATTTTGTGACTACGTTACTTGATGTAGTAGTTATTAATATTATTATTATTATCATTATTATTATTATTATTATTATTATTATTATTATTATTATTTATTTATTGCGGTTCAAGTACATTTTTTACAATGACTATGATCTAACAGTATACATTATATATTCATACAACTTAAATCACAATAGTAAATTACAATATTGTTTATACAATAACTGCGATCAGATTTTACAATTGCAGTATACGCTCAGTTACTTTGGTTGACCAGGTGATGGTTGGTTGAGAATATTTTTTCATGCCTTATTACACATTGTGATATAGTGGGCCACATTCTTTATAACATCTAAATTGTTTGACTGCATTATGCATTTGAACTGGCCCTCTGGGGTTTGTGTAGGATCTGGTTTTAGGATCTCCCTGTAAAATAGTGTACATTGTACATATATGTGTTCATAGCGATGTCCATTTTTACAATAAACTTCTTTTAATCAATACTCCATGTGTTTCTAGATGCTCCTACTCCAGTGAAATTTTTATTAAACCAGCTGTCAGATTCACGCTTTGAACGCATGGTGACAAAAGTAACTAATGGCAACAATTTTTGGGGTATTCCTGGGGTTCCTTATTTTAACAAGCAAATCGGCGTTGTACCCCGTCAACACACTGTAGGTGTGACAGGAATGGAATTCTTCTAGGGACTGTAGTCCACTTCCCATTACTTTGTACAGGGAACATTCGTCCTACCTGCATATACTTATATCAATACTCCAACCAAAAGTTATCTGTACTAATCAAATGGGACACCAGAGTTCCATTCCTGTCACATCAACAACCCTTATGATATGATAAAATGGGGCACTTCCTGAGTTCTCCCGAAACATGTTTATATATAACGAAGAACTCTGTCACAAGGTTAAAATGGATGGTCGTGCAGTAAGCGATATGCAATTAATTGTTTTTAGCCATCACCTGCGTCTGTCGTCACCATTGTCGTCAACTTTCAATAACTAAACACGGTAAGTAGAAACTCGTTTTGCCTTTTGTGTTTAAACTTGTGTAACTAATGAATATTCATAAGATGCAGGTCGAGTTCGAAAAACAGCATGATCGGGGTCATTTGAAAAAAAGATGTTATTTTTTTTTAACCTTTTCAGCATATTTTATTTACCATTTCCATTATACAGATAACATGGAATCCTGTCATATTTTGCATTAAAACTTGTAGGGCTGATTCACAGGTCCAATTAACAGATGCCTTTTTGGTATATTAGTGGTTTCTCCGCACATTTAATTCTTAGGCATATTAACAGTCTCATTAGTGAACTCATAAAATATGTTAACGTATTATTTTGGCATTTTTGGCATCTTAACCATATTGTTAGGTGACTATATTAAATGATGGTAAACATGTCATTGTAAATTGTGTTATACAGTGTCAAAAATGGAAATAAACTAAGATCAAAGCAGTTTGTCAGTTTCAAGGATTCACTATGTTCAGAATCTCAGAATGGAGCAAATTGGACATTTAAATTTTTCTATTGATTTTTCCCCATCTCAACAATTTTGTTAGTTGATCAAATCAAATAAACAGAAAATGGATTATTTTGTATTATGTATAAAAGTGATGAAAATGTGAAGATAATCTCATTTCAGTGAAGTATATATTGTTTACATTTTGACTATTTTCAAGGAGTGACTATAAAGGTCCATGGGCCTGAAGACCTAGTCACATTTGCTAAATATCGATGTTACCTGCAGTAAGTAGCCTGCTGTTACAGTATTGTGAAATATATTTACATCAGTTTACAGTGTGATCAGTATTTGCTATAAGTACTGGAATGTCTTAACCATGCCATCTTCCTCTGCCACCACCAGCTGACCGGCAGGGTTGATGGCTAATGCTATGGGATGCTCCAACCCATCATCCTCAGTGGCAATGTATCTGATAAACTGTCCCTGTGGACTCAGTACCACTATCCTGTGGTTAATCGTGTCAGCAATGAAAATTTGACCATAGCTGTCTGTGCACACTCCACATAGTCCACCCAGCTGACCATCACCACTACCATCACTGCCTTTTTCTCCATACTGGTACTGGTACAGCTGATTACCAGTAGGTGACAGAACATGTACACAGGATTTGACACAGTCTATGTCTAATATCACGATGCTATCATTCAAGCTGTTCACTGTGATGTACACTGGGTTTTTACACATACGGAGTGGAATAGTGTTCAGAAGCTGTCCACTGTCTGGATGAAATGTGAAGATGAATTTCTTTTCTTCGTCACAAACCATCGCATGACCTTGTCTGTTCACTGTAATACCACATGGGGCCTCAAGTATACCACGACCCATGGTTGTCACCTGCTTACCTCTGGTGGAGTACACTTTGACACATTTGTCTACCCTTGATGTTATATACAGGTGACCAGTTTGTGACACAGCCACATCAAATGGATTATTTAGTTTAAAGTCAAACTTTAATTCTCCATCATGTGTGAACAATTTTGTTCTGGCATTCCATAGCCAAGAATTATATTGATCCACAACATATGTATATTGCTCATCAACGGCCAATCCATATATGCGCAATATTATGTCACCTTTCAGCGTACAGAAGGAATGCGTACATTTTACCTTCTCAAAGAAAACTGGAAGATTTGGTGCTGAACGTGGATTTGTTCCTTGTCCTGGTAATGGAAGTTGTAATTCTTCTGTCACCTGTCCTAACATGGCTTTAAGTCTGGCAGTATATATCTTACCTGGTATGTAAGATATCTGAGCTGGTGTGTCTGGAGTTGGGACAGGTGTTTTTTCCATCACTGCCAGTCTTAATATCAGAGGTTTTGCATGAAGCATGATTTCAGAGTCAGTGCCATTAGTGATAAGTTCCTGGGCAAAATCACAGGCACTGTGCAAGGTGGCATGGTGGAATTCAATGATGCCCTTGGTTGCCTCCTTCTGCTTTTTCCAGTTGTCATAAGCAGAATTAACTTCTGATATCAGTGTCTCTTCTCTCTGATCAATGAATTTGCGCACATTCTGAGTTTGTTTTTTTTATGTTTTTGATAGTGTGTGTCTTGATATGAGGGTCATCTGTTTTATTGGCTGTTTCCAGGGCTTCTTTGAATCTGTTCGTTGTTTTCATAGTTCTCTCAAGAGCAGCTTTAATCTTATCTTTGTTGATTTTTGCAACTTGCATAACTGATGATATACGATGTCCACCATGTTCTTTTGTTATGCACTCACCACATATAACAGTATTATCATCTCCACAGTAATATTTTAACTCATTATTAGGATGTTTCTCACAACTGATGGTCATCTGTGCAATGGCCTGTGTCACTGCTGCTACATTGGCCTGTTCCTCTTCTAGCGTCTGTCTCTCTTGTTGCTTGGTTATGATATCCTTGGTCTTGCTGAAAACAAAATTCTTTTTCAGTTGATGAAGTCCACTAGCTGGAAACTGGATCTCTTCTCTACACACGGGGCACATAAATGTCCTATTTGGAGTCAGCGTGCGTGTAGCATGGTCACATATACAGCCGTAGCAAAATGTATGGAAGCAAGGCAGCACACGGGGGTCCTCAAACTCGTCTCGACAGATGCTACATGTCAAGATATTCTCTTTGATATCAGCTGCTAGTGCTTCTGCCATGACTGGCTGTCTCTTTAATTTACAAAGGGTGATTGCGCTGGTTTTGTTGCCTTTGGTATTGAATAACTCTGTCTAGAAATTGTCAAAAATGCTCTCAAAAATTTTCTCTCAACCTCACAATTCTACAGCTTTGACCAACAGAGATCACTAGTACCACTATATCTTTTATCTGACTTACTGTCATATTTAACACATCTGATTTTAAATTAGTTCCTCAAATATCCGCACTGTTTCTTCCTGTCTGTACAAGTCGAGAAAAACATGGCGTCTGCTTATCACTTGACGCTGACCTCAACATAGCAGGAACATTGATTGTGTGTTGACATAATTGCATTGTGTTTACTCTTAAGCTTAGGCTATCAAAATAGAGCCATGAATGTAGGTATTACTGTCTCGTTTTTTAACTTACATGTATTACTTGCAATCTGCAGTGCAATTATTCCTATCCTTTATTTCTTAGGTAGAAAAATGGTTATAAATGATTATTTCTTAAAGCTCACCTAAAATTAACAGCTAGCACACAAACAAAATTCGTGCCTGGTAACACAGTTGTGTTATTCTTTATCTAAGTTCAGGTTAAACAAATAAAACCATGTCTGCCAGTATTTTAAATTACTGTATGGTAAAGTATGTTAAGTAAAACACCCACAGTGACTGTCAACATTGAGGGATTTTTTTTCCTGTGATACGTAGTCTATTAGAGAATGGATTAGCATCTTAACACTTTTAACTTGGGAATAAATCTGATTTCATCATATAGTGTTAAAGAAAAGACATTTAAACGCACACTAGGCGCATGCACTAGTTCGTGTTGAAATTGTCTGAGGACTTGTGAGTCTTTGAAATTATATTTTAACAAAAACATGTCTTGAATGTTGTAAAATTCAAATCCATTCCTCCTGACCGCCCCTCAACCTGCCGCATCCCGGATGTATCCCCTTTCTTTCTGTCATTCGGTGATGGGGAAAGTAACGATGCTTAGCCGTTATAAAAGATGTCAGATGTTTCCCGACACTGAGGTAATTTGGTCGTCGATAAACAAACAAGAACTAGCACTCACAGTTTGAAAAAGTGATTTCTGAGTGGGGTAATTAAATATCTGTTACTGTCACCCCACTGCACACACACACACACACACACACTTTATTTAAAATCAGAGAGTTAAAATGTATAAAACCCTAAAGGTCAAAACACACTCGCCTCCCTGGGGAATATGAGGCGCTGAGTGCTATCAAACTTACAATATCGTTCTCTGCCTGACCAGGACCCTGCTTCAACCACTAAGTGCTGAGTGTCAAGCGGGGAGACAGCAGGTACCGTTTATAAAGGACTGGTATGTCCGTTTATAAAGGACTGGTATTTCTAACCACAAGGCCATCCAGTCGGTATAAATTTACCGCTTCTCCTTCTAGACTACAAGGACCTGCAGAGATAGGGCCATAGTTACTATTGAAGTTGAATAGGAAGTGATATACTGGCAATCAAACTGTGACCTTCCAATTGACCTTTGACCTACTATTCACCATGAACTGAACTTTGCAATCTTTTAGTCCCTTATATCTCTATAACTAGCAGAGATATGCCCATAGTTACTATGGAATACGAATAGGAAATCATATATTGGCAATCTAACTGATATCTTAAAGTTGACCGTTGACCTTCTTTTCGCCATGAACCGCACTTCACAATAAAATTCTTCGCTAATACATTTTTTTACCCATGATTTTGTTTTGAATTGTAATTTTCAACAAACATATTGAGCACTTTAGTTTACTGCATTTTGTAGAGCTTGTCAAGCACAACCCTGGAGGTGGTGTCCATTTTGTTACTTTTCCATAAGAACGCGCTTACTCCAGCTGGTGGTACAATATCTGGAGGGGGTATCGGCTGTTTAATCCTCTAGTTTACATAAAAGGGGAAGGGGCATGTTGGAAGATTGACAGGTGCCAACTTGGTGAGAAAGTGCCGAAAATAGAGTAAAGACTATATACATGGAAATAAAATAACACCTCCATTAAATTGCTAGTTACACTTCTCGAGGTGACTTTCAAAAACAGTTACTTTGGACTTGACTTTTTTATATAAAAATGGACCAACTCTTTGGAAAAACTCAGTTTCCACATCTTAATTTGCCCAGAGTCTGTTTATTTCTGTGCAGTCTATAATTTTACATGTCTAAATGAGAGACATGTAAACTGGTTGCAAAAATGTTGCCATATTAAAATGTCACATGTGGATCAACCTAGATGTGATATATACAGGGATATCTTTTACAATATTCTCCCTGTAATTATATTACCAATTCCTTCATACACGTGATTTAACCCCCCCTCCCCCTCCCCCCTGTAATTATACTACCTGTGCCCTGTAATTATACTACCAATTCCTTCATACACGTGATTTAACCCCCCCCCCCCCCCCACACACACACACACACAGAGCCAGTTGGACTTGTTGAACTCCCTAGTCTGGTCGTCCATTGCCACACTGGCCAAGCAGCACATCATGGAGTCCTACAGACAGGGGAAGGGGGTGGTGGTCCTGGACGCCGCAGTGTTGTTAGAGGCCCAATGGGACGGCTTTGTACATGAGGTCTGGGTGTGTATTGTACCCAGAGACGAGGTACGTGTCATGGTGACAACTTTTTTTTTTACGATCATAAACAATCTTTGAGTTATTTCTTAATTGAAAGAATAAAGACACTGTTAAAGTTCTGTTTTTATATTAAAAACTTTAAAAAAATTAATTTTTTTTGTTGTTGTTGTTGAAATACGTGAAGATGGATGTAACATATAGCTTATTTTTCAATGTTAGTAGTGGTGAAAATCTCTCTTCAAGGTAAAGAGAAAACATTTGTTTATTTATTTAAATCATTGAATATAATTATAAATTTAATTTTTCTCACGTGAATTACATATGCATTGGATATGAAATAGATGTGATATTTTATATTGACTTCTCCCCTTTCTTGACCCCCAGGCTGTGAAAAGGCTAATTGACCGCAACCACCTGTCAGAGGAGCAGGCCACACAGCGTATTGACCTCCAGATGACCAATACTGACCGTGTCCAGAGAGCTAATGTGGTGCTGTCTACTCTATGGGAGTATGAAGTCACCCAGAAACGGGTCAGTTCACTTGCTTGCTGTTCGTTTATTTATTTGTATTTTTGCTCATAAATAGGAACTATGAGGTTTTAAGACTTTCATAAAAAGGTTATGTGATCCGTTTGAACAGACATTTATGAATTAAGCATACCTTTTTGTATTTTTGTTGTAATTTTTTTTAATTATTTGAATTTTGTGAGAAGAAGTAGAAAAAAATCTTGTTTAAATAGACAGGCAACTCATGAGAGAATGCTGAATTTCACAGCTGAAAGTCATAAAGTCATATCTTCCGGTGCTACAGGTGGAGAAAGCCTGGGCTCTTCTGCAGTCTCGTCTTCCAGGAAACACCTAAGGTGCCATCTGGTGTCAGAATGAATGACAATTCAAAACAATTCAATTCTTGGTATAAGAGAATACAGTGTTGTCAGTTTACTTACATTTAACTATCTCCTCACTGGCGTTATATCCAGTAACCCCAACCCATCTTCTGACAAATGCTTTAATGTGTTATGTCATGGGATGGTTTCTGCACCATGTGGTTAAAGTGGAGAAGATTGCAAGTATAGCTTATGGTCCCAAAAATCGGAGTCTTTTATTTTACTTCTCAGTAGTTAAGTAAAAAAATATTAGTTTACATTTTTAGACTGGGCAACATGATAGCAAGTTGACAGATGAAATGCAAGGATGATTGCTAGGCTACCTCCTGCAGGCAGTTGAGTCAATTTTTATCAGTTATGAGTACCAAAATTTTGCCATAAATAACCTTTTTCGATATTAGTTTTTATGTACAGACACAGATGTGTCTGTACATATAGCCATCATCTGCGTCTGTCGTCGTCGCCGTCGGTGCCGTCGTCGCCGTCGTCGCCGTCGTGCACTTTTACCGATAACACGATAAGTGGAAAACCGTTTTTGCTTTTGGCTTGAAACTTACAGAACTGATGAATATTCATAATATGCAGGTCAAGTTCGAAAATCAGCATGATCGGGTCATTTTTAGGGAAGTTACGCTGTTTTTTCCCTTTTTTCAGCATATATGCAACACCGATAACACGATAAGTGGAAAACCGTTTTACCTTTTGGCTTGAAACTTATGAAACTGATGAATATTTATAATACACAGGTCAAGTTCGAAAATCAGCATGATCGGGTCATTTTTAGGGAAGTTACGCTGTTTTTTCACTTTTTTCAGCATTTTTGCAACACTGATAACACAATAAGTGAAATACCGTTTTACCCTTTGGCTTGAAACTTACAGAACTGATGAATATTCATAATACGCAGGTCAAGTTCGAAAATCAGCATGATCGGGTCATTTTTACGGAAGTTACACTGTTTTTTCACTTTTTTCAACATATATGCAACACTGAAAACACAATATAAGAAAAACAGATAGGCCAATTGTCATTTTACTCCCAGGGGTAGTCAAACTAACTAAAACGCAGGTTGAAATCGAAAATCAGCATAATCGGGCCTTTATTTTAGAAGTTAAGCTGTTTTTTCACATTTCCTCAGATTCAATTCTTAGGCATGTTAACAGTCTCAATATACGCGCTTCTCAAAAATTATGCATGATTTGACCCAATTTACGAAAACGAGGCTAAAAAGGCAAACGAATTCTTAGCAACGAAGCTAGAAGGCAGTCCTGTAGAATGCCGGGAGCTAAAGACCACTGTTGACAAACGTTATAATCCAGAGTTATCATTTCACAAGTTTCCAGAAGACCCTGAGCGAAGGGAAATATGGATAGTAAGAATAAGGAGAGACGAGGGCACGCTGTTTCAGGTTAGTGTTTACAATGTTTTCAAATGCAAATATTGACATAATTCCTCCGATGGCTAGGACATTATAAGCGGTCAAACGACTGCAAGGGTAGTAACGAGTCTGTTTAACTA